AAAAAAAAAAAAAAAGCAGCCCCGGCTGCCAACTCACCATCCACCAAGTTCTGGCCGAGATGTCGTAGCAGAGCTGCCATTTGATGGAGCCGTCGGAAGCTTTCCCTGCCATTACGCTGTCAGCAAGCTTCATCTGATGCTAACTCACGGGAGATAAGACACCTAATTGAGAAAACATTTGCAGTGGCATGTGGGGCAACATGTAGTCCGGTCCATACCATATGGAATCATGGGTAAAAAAAAAAATCTCCTTGACAATGAACCAATCTCTCACAGACCCAGTGGCAAGGTGAAGTGGAGATGAAAAGTCTTCTTCTCCTAGCACTGTCTTCTCTCTCCTTTTTAAAAAACAAAAACCCACTGCTACACATCAAAGAGGCGGTTAAAATTAGGGCTTCATCACTCAGATGATTTTGGTCTGCAAGGTTTTTCCTTTCCTTCCAACAACCAATCCCCCCTCTTTTTTTTTTTTTTTTTTAGCAAACACACTTGTGATCCCTCCCCCCGGCCCATCATATGAAGGGATAGCTCTAATCTATCTGAATACCATTACATCCAAGTGCTAAAAGAATCAATTCATTTATGACAAGTTTGGTCCAAGATGAAGCCAGGGGCCACTGCAGCCTGAGAACCTTGTTCTAGGCATGTGCACATCACTGGGTGGTGTGCAACCTTTCCTACCTAAATCTTGGTTCCCTTGTATGTAAAGTGGGGCAATAATAATTACTTCGTATGTTTATGGTGAGAATTAAGTGAAAAAATTTATATATAGAGAGAGCACCTAAGACGGATTCTAGCAGACAGTTTGTGCTCAATCAGTGTTGGCTGTTAGGATGGAATATTCAGTTAGGTACAGAGAGGTTGTTCCCTGGTGCTTTTAAAGCTCGAATGATGGCAGCTGGCAGAAGCAGCAGCTTTCTCCCCCTGGCCCTTAGTAGGGGCTCAATACATATTTGGTGATAAATGAAGGACTGCCAGAACAAGCGCCTAAATTTTAAGTCCCAGATATACTACTCTAACTGACCAACTCTTTTTCCTAGATCATATACTCCACTTTTC